AATAATAAATATTATTTTAATTGACTTTCTTTGAATTTATTCTGCATTAATTCATTTATTCAAAGTGGAATGATTAGGAGTTCACTAGTTTTCACAATTATTTGATTAATCAGTAAAATAGGCAATACATTTTTTTTAAACCAATTCACAGCCCTAATAATAATAATAATAATAATAATAATAATGATATATGTGAATAAGACAAATGTATTTTGTGGACAAACTAGAGAAATTAAGAGCGAGTCTAACAATACCACTGGGCATTGGTAGACTGTTACAGATATGATAAATAACATCACAGCATTTCCACTAACAGATAATGTATATTTGAGAATATGCAAAAATCCATTATCAGCTGTTTTGTAACACTGCCCACCTAACTTTAAGGCTTGGTCACTGGGAGTCCAGGGTTTAAATCCTGGACTATTCCACCAATAAACGCCCTTGAGCAAAACCCCAAACGCTCTACCTACCTAGCACAGGTATAAAACAGAGGTCACCATCAGATGTTCTAGAAACTGGAGTTGTAATAGACCAGTATAATCTCTCACCAAATAATCCTTTACCCAGCTATCAAACATAGCAGTGTGTTATCACATCAGGATAGTGATGGAGTGCTAAGAAGGTGTAAAAACCTAAACAAAGATGTAGAAGGTGGCTGACAAAGTGGATGTGTGTCACTGCTGGAGATTAGATGAAAGAACAGAAAATAACTTACAGCGACAGTGAAAGGAGAAGGAAAAAAGAACAGGCGCAGGAAAACGAGAGAAAAAGATGGAGGGTGTGGGGTGTCCTCAACCTCAGGTCTGCTGCAATGTCAACAACGTGGAATAACACAATCCATTACCCTGCTTCTGGCTGGGAGGACGGGGAGCTGCTGACACCCTCACCAGTGGAGCAAGACCACAGGCTCTGTGTTCAGTAATGGGAGGTCCAGCCCCCTGGTCTCCACTGGTCAGCCAAGTGTCAACTCAGCATGTGTGTAGCTACAGTTTGTGAGGTTGGCACACTGCATGTGTGCCTGTGCATGTGTTTAGCTTCCTAGATGATGGGAGTAGAGGTAAAGCTGATGCCAGGCCACTCAGAGGACTGCCAGGAAATGGACCAGGTTCGAAAAGTTCAACATAGTAAATGGTTCTGTTTAAAGAGCCCATGGTGCTTTTTCTTGTTTTCTGACTTATCTATAATGTTACAACAGTGAATTATCATCTTGGACATGACCTAAAGCTCAAAAAATAAGGTGAATGTACAGTATGTTCTGGTATTTCTATGCAGAAGCCACTCGGTTTATACAAGCTCTTGTTTGTGAGACTTTTTTCTAATAAAATAAAATATTACGTGATAGTTTAAGGATTTTCCCTGAATGGGCATAAAATCCAGGCAGTTGCGTGTTCATGTGATCTTGCCTGACATCCACCAGTGCCACTGTAATAGCGAAATTTTTAGGCTGCACACATTTTTGTGGATATATTTTCCTTCCAGCTGCTGCACTGTGGCTCGAGGATGTGGAGAAAAATACAGGGCCTGAGGTTACTGCATGTCCAGGAATGTTCCTGTACAGGGGACTTGCAGAAAGGGAGTGATGTTTCCACTACTTGGTGGCACTTAACCATAAGTTTTAAAAAATACATGTTACACGTTTGTTAATGGCTTGTTTCTGTAACATTAGAGAGAATCATTGTAAGCCTGAAGAAAATACTATATCTGAATTATGCCGGTTAAAATATGGGGTTTCTCTATTACCCGCTTTGTTTAGAGTGCAACACATCTCTTTTCATTGGCACATGTACCGTTGTTTGCCTGTCTATGGAAGAGAAATTCAAATTAATTAATGCTGTTGTGGTTCGTTGTGCTGTGCACTTTGGACACAACACTGGCAGCAGGAGTTGTGCGTGTTCACGAACTATCTTCTCGTTTTTAGGAAGAGGCTCTCTGGTTTTAGCATTCTGAAATAATTACAGACTATATGGAGTTATGAGGGGAGCTGCTTCTATTTTGTATCCTGTTTTAGAGAGTCACTGCTCTCTGACACTATGAAACTTTCCTCTGGCCTTGCTCATTTTATTACTGAAGATCAATGTAGAAAACGCTCAGGTAGCAGCTTCTCACTTTAGCCAGTGCCGACTTTTGCCCGTTAAGTTGACAAACATCATCAGCAGTTTATATCAGCTGTAACTAATTCATTCTATACAGGCTTGAGTGTATCTTGGTTAATGTGCTGTCTCTGCAAGCGGGTGTCTGTGTCAAGCCAACACCTTGAAAAACAGCTCTACAATCACAAGTAGACTGTGTTTTGTAGTCGATTCTTCTCTACACAAATGATCTACACCAGTCTGATATTTTATTCTGCCGCTCTGCCTCAGAATTAGTAATGGCCCACAGGCATCATTACCGTGATACCAGCTGGGGAGCACTTATGTTAATTTGCATTTTAATTCTAACAAGAGCTGTTGTGCACACCAGCAACCACCAGGTGGTGTCTGTGTGAGCGAGGTGCTGCCCATGCACTATGGGTGTCCATGTAATATAACTTATTTCAGAACGTCACAAATAATTAAACATTTGTTGCAGACAGCGTTTCACAAAGTATCTAAAGTTTATACTGATTTATAATTTGTAAAACCGCACAATATTTAAAGGGAGTCTGGGAACAAAGGATTATATTACAGCTATTGTTTTGCTTTATTTGTTGCTGTTTGTTACAGATTATATCAATAACTTCAGTTTAGCAACCTGTGAATCAGGAGCTCTACTATTTGCAGAAAGCTGGTTATGAAAAACAAGGAGTAAATGTCAGAAGCTACAGCTGTTATTTCAATGTCAGACACGTATTTAAACATTTGGAATCTTCTGCTGCTACTGATCAGTTTATGCCTTCTTTTTACAGACTTTTGAGCTTTACTTATTCTTAACTGGTTTGCAAATGTTTAAATCTAAATCTTTAGATAAGCAGATTCAAAATGCTACAGAACCCCAGCTGTAATGAGGCCATGGTAAGTGAACCAACAAAATTCCGGCTGACTGAAGGTTTAGTGTTGGATGTACAGTCTGACTGTCAGCTGATTGGTTTCTCAGAGGTCCAGAGGGTCCATGAAGCATTTTTGAAACTGCTTGCAAAAGATGCTCATTTGGTCTCAGAAAAAAACAACCATAAGAGAAACCTACTTGACAAGTGTATGACACCTCCTGCTGATTTACTGCAGCTCAGTAGAAATCACTGTAGTAAGCTGAAGTGGCTGCACTACCCAAAGTTTTTGCCATCTCTGTTTCTTTTTAATTAGCTGATATATCATTTGTTTTCAGATCCAGAGGGAGACATGGCTGGCACAGGATGACACATCAGAATCAAGGAAAGATAAAGCCACTTCTTTGCATGCAAAAAACATGATGCACTGATCCAGCTTCTCCAGCCTGCTGCTGTCTTTTGTAATTTTTTTTTTAAACAAGAAATCTTGCTCTTAATTTTTAACTTGTTGGGAAAGCTTTGCTTGCTTTTTTTCAAAATATACTATATTCTTTATTTGGCTGGTTTTCCTGATCACTGTGTTTGGCCCCCTTTCTCTGAGGATAATACATGTAAATGGAGGATTCTTACTTTAAA